TAACACGTATATTTTTGGTTGTTTCTTTAAGGGCTTTTGGGTTCTTGAGAGAGAAGATACATAAGTAACGTTTGAGAAGAGAAGTGTGTATTGTATTCATTATTGTCCTTTATGGTAATTTTACGTAAGGTGTATATCACAGCCCTTTGTCCTTTGCAGTCATTTTATATTAGGTTAATATTGTAATAAAAAATAAACTAATTAATGGTGTGCTTTGAGATGAAAAATGGTGTGTAAATAAAGGCACCCGTCATCCATGCATTGAATTGTGTGTGAGTAACATATAGAGAAACTAGGAAAAAGACACTTTTGCCCTCACTTATTTCCTTTCTTTTGTTTTCGTTCTTCTTCCTTACTCTCTCTCATCTCTCTCCTAGTGTAAATGGGTTTGGTTTTGGAAAGGGTTTGTCATGAGGAGGTGATGCTCAACTAATTCAATGTATTTGTAGACAAATTGATCCTACTGAGACGCCCTCTCTCTATCCTTATTCTCAATTGTTGCAAAATTTTTAAAATTCATAGTAAGTAAAGTGAAATTATAGCAAAATTGGCCATGAATTTGAATGAAGAAAGTGAATGTTTAGGTTTATTGGTAGTTCAAGCATCGAGGTCGTCAGTGATGGAGAGGTTGAAACGAAAGGCAAACCATGAACCATATGCCCTTGATGAAGATGGGTTCGATATAATCTGGTTTGGATTTGTTAGTCTTCATTTGGGAAGAGCTAAAATAGCCTAGTTTTTTTGCTATTTTAGTCTGGCTTTTTTAGTCTCGTTTGGTTTTTGTTTTTGGCTTTTGTGAGAGAAAAAGTGTAATGATTATAGTTTGGATGTGACATTTTGTCTTATTGACTTATATAACAAATTTTGTCTTTTGTGCTTTTTTAGCCAAAAAGTCAAAACTAAACATAGCTTTAGACTTGAAGTTTGAGGCATGTGTTTGATTACGTCCATGAATAAGGACGGTTTGTGTATACACTAGATATATACTTGTTTGGCAATGGTAACTGGTAATCAGGATGAGTTTGGCATTGGAAACTAGTAATGGGCTTGGATTTGGGTTTGAGAAAGTTTCTAATTTTTAGAGAAAGGATGGTGTGATAGTGGCACGAAAAAGAAAATTAAAAAAATAAATAAGGATAATATAGACATTTTACAATTATGTTTAATAGAGTTACAAGTAACACTTGACTCCATATTGCAAGGAGGTTAAGTGCACATTTTTGTACTTCAAGGAGGTAATGTGTTTTTCTGTTAAACTACAGGAAGGTAAAGTGTAACTAACCCTAAAAAAAAATTAAATCTATTCAATAATCATAACATTATCATTTTATTACGTTTATAAAAAATGAAAATGTTACAGACTTAATTTTTTCGTGGATGACATAAATAGAGGGGTCTTACAAAATAATGATTTAGATTATCAAAACGGGATTTGTGATAGGCGCTACAAGCCTCTCAAGTTGTCTCAAATTCAAATTTAAATTTAAGATAAAGACAAATTCTTTTCAAATAAAGTGATCATGTAGCTTTATTATTTGGTAGATATTAAAAAGTTATAAAACCCATCAAATATTTGAGTTTGAGTTGTGTTCAATTTGCTAAAAAAATTAATTAATATTGATTTATTTAAAATTTAATTACGAACACATCATTTTCTATTACATTTTTTTTTAATCTTTTAGGCACACTTCTAATCTTTCTCATTTATTATAAAGGAAACAATGATCTTAAGTATTTTCACTTGTTTTTTAAGGTTTGATTGATAAGTTTACCTGTCTGTGGGCCTATATACCTTTCCTAATAGGTCATATTTATTTGGACTGGATAAGAAAATACTGTAATTAATTGGATTATTAATCTTGGATATATAGTCCATAAATTATTTGGTTAGAAACGATATACTCATGTTTGTTTTCTCGTGAGATTAGATATTTAGAAATGACTATTCTATTAAATCTAATGTTTGATTAAAATATTACAAAGAAGAATAAATACTTAATAGATTATTTTACTATTTTCAATTGTTTATTAAGTAATAATAATAATCTATCTTTAATATTTTAATTTTTTTTGACTAGATTAAATAAAAAATAATAAAAATTTAGGAAAAATTGCTCATAAATCCTATTTGGGGAAATGTTAGTCCATTTAGTCCTACATGTTTTTTTATAAACCAAATAGTCCTTTTTATTTGTAGTATGTATTATTGATATGATTTAGTAATATTTGAATTTACTTGTTTACCTCTTATTGTGATTATGTTTTTGATGTTTTTTTGGGATTGAGTGTATGTGGATAAAGTATGGTTTAATATTTCTATTTTTTTTTGGAGATTTCATGGAGTGATTGTAGGGATTATTAATGTTACCTACTTGGTGTTACATTATTGATGTTAAATCATTTGCGTTTTCCTAGGGAGGTGTGGGTTATAACGTTCACATTTACCTACATAATATCAGCCTAGAGCCACATTGCCATACCATTAAGCCTCCCACTAACAACCTATAACATTAACACCAAACACCAATCACATAACATAACATTGACCCAGTCCGACAATCCTCGACAATTAACAGCCACTATCGCCTACTACCACCAAACCCCACCAACACTTTTCAGACGTACATCCTCCTAGTAGCCCCCAACATTACAAAATACGCACCCAATCATACAAACATTAGTTACAACACCATACGTCTGTTACATTACATTCATGCACAACATCACATTTGCAATCATTGGTAACCCCCAAACCCGTGAAAATATTACAACATTAACCAACAAAACCATGTGTCTGTCACATTACAAACACACACAACATCACATTTGCAATCAATGGTAAACCCCGAACTTGCGACGTGAACAAGATAACTTAAAACCCCACATGACGCATCAATTAAACAAAAACCTATTTCGAGCATCGACCTTGATATTGTATTGTTCCATAAACAACCAAACTAACATTAAAGACACCCATATTTGTTGTCATCGCACTAACACACGATCAACGATGCTGTCGACGGATTAATTTTAAATCGCCAACGTTACATTCCCAATGTTAATCGCACTCCAAGATGTCCCAGTGCCCATGCCACCTCGCATTTGTAAATTTGATAGAAGGGGTTTTCATGATTTTCTAGGGTTTTTTTTAGGGGTTTTGTAATGTTTTTTGGGGAAGACGAATTCTGGGTGTAACGTTCACAAATCCAGCGTTGAACTCACACAAACTGAGGATCAACACTGCAATATCGTTAATGATCGCAATGGAGGAAAAATGAAAAAAATGCTATAGTATATTTTTGAGCTTTTTGGTAACTACAACCTCACCTAAACACCCAATATATCCCTCCAAAGAGCCAACCCATGCGTTATATTTGTGGGCTTAAGTGTAATTAATATTGACATGGGACCAATCAATCTACAAAATAAATTGCAGGACTAAATGGTTCAAACAATCTAAGCTTGGGATTTATTGGTGTTTTCCCAAAAAATTTATGTTATTTTTAAAATAGAATTTTAAATAAATTTATTTTAAAAAATAACAAATATTAAATAATGTAATTAAATAAAAGATCTATAAAAATTAAATAATGATTAAATAATGAAATTGAATAAAATATCAATCAAATAAAATATAAACAAATATTTAAAACAAAACATCAATAAAACATCTATAAAAAAATATTTAAATGATTAAATAAATAAACACAAATAAAAATTATTTTATTTTATTTTTTAATTGAGATTTTTATATTTTATTTTATTTTACTAAATACAATACATAGTAAAATCAAATATTTAGAGGGCAAATGTGTCATTTTATAACTCAATCTCATAAAATTCCAATCTCACCACTTTCTATCCCACATCCCCAAGGGCACACTAGTCCAACATATATAAAATTTAGGGTAAATTATAAATATATTCTCTAAGGTTTGCTTAAAATACAGATTATCCCATGTGATTTGAAAAATTATAAATACCTCCTTATTAGAATTTTTTATTTAATAGAATTAATTAAAAAAATAAAATTCATAATTGTTGTCCTATATAATAATAAAATTACCTAAATTATTAATTGAAACATATTTTAATATCATTAAAAAATGTTAATTGACTTGATAATTTATTAATAAAATGGGCGATTTGTTATGAAATTAAAAATTTCAAGAGGTGGAATGTAGTTTTAAAAATCACAAAGACCGATTCATATTTTAATCAAATCTTAAGAGATGTATTTATAATTTATCCTAAAATTTATAATTCCGTGAAACTTTCAATCCGATTTATAAACTTTTTAACCAAACAACAAACTCCATAATAAATTAAATATAGAGATCAATCCCTCCTCCAATCTTTCCAAACAAAAACTCCCATATAGTGTGTGTGTTGATGGTGTGTTTTGCACCTTTTCTCTAAACTTGACATGTGTCTCATAACATGAACAGAAAAAATGGAGATGCCCATTCTAATAATTTGGACTTCAAGTTCAAGACGACTTTGTGAGACATTAAGAAATAAAAAATAAAAATAAAAAAAAGGAAAAGAAGAAGAAGAAGAATGGTCCCTTTCGTACTCTATCTTTTATACCACTTCATATTTTATTTTATAATAATTTTAGTCATTTATTTTGTAAAAGTGACTCCAAGAAAGAGGCATATTAGTCCAGTTAGTTATTTTAACTAATATTATCTTAAATTCTCGGGAGCTTCTATTTGTACATCTTCATTCTTTTCTTTGCACACACTTAATAATAATTATTTTTATTATAATTTTATTTTCAAGTGAAATTATTATTATGGACATTATACACAATTTAAATAAACACATTCAGAAATTGAATATCGAAAAAATAAAAAAATTTGAAATTCTACTTCCAAATAAGTTATTTATTTTCAAAATACTAGTTCTGAATCAATTATTTATTTTCAAAATACTACTTTCAAATCAATTATTTACTAAAAAAAAATATGTATAAAGTGTAATAGGTGCGTGCAAATAGAAGCTCCTAAATTCTCACTCCATGGGCTGGTAAAGGGCTTCCTATTTTCCCTCGTCTCTTGTCCGCTGGCTTCAATTGGAGAGTGATTGAAGGCTATCCAAACTCGTCTCTCCCGCGAAACTGCTCCTTCTCCAAACACGTCTCTCCCGCGAAATCGATCTGCTCCTTCAGCGCGAAATCGATTTTCTCCTTCGACGTTGTCTGCAACTCCCTCCATCTGACCTCTTTCTCAAGGTATGGATCCTTCTATCTCTCTGTCTTCCCCTTCTGTGCAACTCATAAACCTTCTGTCTCCGAGAAAAGCAATCTGCAACCCTAGAGGCATCCAATCTGATTAAAAATTCCATATTTAATCTCATATTTATGCCGTATGGAGTATAGACAACTTGAATGCAATGCACATCTTCCTCTATATAACGTAAAACATCAAAGTCCAGACCAAAATTATGCATCCGAATTTAAAACAGTGTCAATAGACTGTTTACACTCGTCTCAAAGACCAACTTATCAAAGGCATCTGATTTAATGAAAGTAAAAAAACTCCTCACAATGGTGACTGAATGCCTTTCCTTGATTATAGATGATGTTTAGTTTATGAATTTTAGTTTCAATGATCAGCAATCAGGGCATAGGGATAAAATTAGTTTATGAATCAGGACCTGCAAATCATTGGTTGGTTTGGACTTTGGAAAGGCTTGATGAGAGAAGATATCTTTACAGCTATTGATTTGAAAGCAAAATGGAATGCTCTCAACAAATACAAATAGATTGAATGATTGATTGATATAAGGAAGGAAGGAGGGGAGGGGAGGGGAGGGAGAGTGAGTGAGAAAACGAAAACAATTATTATTGTTGTAAGGGAAGGGTGTTTGGTGATAAACAAACACGGAAAGGTATGAGATCCTGAGAGACATAGGATCAGGTAACTTTAGTGTAGCCAAGCTTGTTAGCGACAAGAGGAAGAGAAAGATCATGGTCAACAGTCGGACTAAGCGAGTAATCACAGTGGGATAGTCAAATTAATTGAGTACTTATGGTGGGGTTAGATGTTAGGATGCAGTCACTATTGAACTTAGATAAAGACCCGTAGAGCTACAATTCACTGAAATTTCATGTCAAATGAACATGTTGGTTAGGTAGGTTTGTCTCTCCTATGAGAGAGAGAGAGAGTCTAATTGTATAGCTCAATGAGTTAGGAAAATGATTTTCTGCAAGGAATATTGATTTGGCTGTGATATTGCCTTGAAAATTAGACTCTAGTAATAATTGCAAGGAAACAATATGGACAATGCTTCACTCTCCCTCCCTCTGTATCTACAAAATAGGTTTCTCTCTATAAAAATTGTATGCTCCATTTAATTTTTTTTCCCCATGCTTATGCCTTTCACATTTTCATTTTATTTTAGCTTAGCTAGTCCATTGGAGTTTTTCATGGAGTTGTTACATGGCCAACATTTTGACAAGAGTCCCATTTTAATTTTTGTGTATACTTTAACATATTTATTTTTTAACTTAGTACATAGATGGTCTTATGAAGTTTGAGGCCTCAGTTTTTAATGTACAAGCTTGGTGATACTATGAAATGGTGAGTTTAGTCAACATAATGGCAACATAGTTAATATATTAAGGTAAGTATGATTCTGGTTCATCATCAATGAATGGTATGTTTGCAGCTACAGCATTCATACAAATTTTATTTTTTATTATATTAATTTTTTAAAATTTTTTTTTTCCACTTTTAGAGGTAGTTATGGAATACTCTCAGAGTACTCATGTGGTATTAACAATTATACACCTTATAGATAGTCAAACATTAAAATGCACTAACAATTATATTTGTGGATCATTTTTATTTTGCTTTCTATTGGAAGCAAAAGGACATATTTTTTTTTGTTGCCATTCATACAAATTATTAATATAAAATGAAAGAGTTTGGGAATGAAATGAAAAGGGGAGAAACAAGGAAGGACGTGTGTTTTTGTTGGCATTCATACAAATTATAAATATAAAGTGAAAAAAGAGTTTGGGAATGGGAATGAAAGAGGGGGAGTAACATGGATAGTTCTTTAAAAACTCTACATGTTCTCATGGACCCACCTTGAAGAATATATATGACCCATGATTATTAGAACCAAGCTTTAAATACCCAGTAACTTGAGAACATTACCTCATGTTTCATTTTTATCTATTATCAGTTTAGTTCAATAATATATTTCACTTCTTGATTTGGACACCTATATGTATATTAGTCACATAGATAGGGTGAGTAATCTTAACTTTGTAGATGAAGGCCTAGGTGCTTCAAGAATATAGTATACTTGGCTTTGAATAGTCTGGATCTTCAAAAATCTAAATTCTCCAAAGGCTTTGTTTAGTTTGAATCATTTGTGTTTTCTTTCTAATTGATATTTTTGTTCTTTTACAGCAGCACAATTGTTTATGAAAGTTGAAAAGGGATATTTTTGTTCTTTTACAGCAGCACAAGTATGACTGTTGAAAACACTTTTTAATTTTATTCTAAATCATAGAGACACACATGGGTGTGGCTGTTGTGTTTAGAAATTAGATAAAATTTGGCTCATAGCTCAATTGTTTATAAAAGTTGAAACCATGAAGCATGTCTGTGTATCTGTCAGATTCAATTGAAAACTGATGCTTCACTTAACTCCAAAATAATATTTATTGTTTACATAATAATATTATCTGGAACCTTTCCTAACTGATATTGAACACAACTACCAATCTGACTCGCCCCATATAAACATTAGTAGTAAAATAAAATAGAAGTTTGATTTTATTTATTTATTTGGAAAACAACTAGTGTTTTAATTTACATGATCTGCATTTATTAATTAATTTGCTTCCAACTGGGAAGCTTAGTTATTTCTCCAACCCAATATATGTTGCCATAATTTTCTTTACCTTGTCTATGGATGAATCATCAACAAAATGGTGCATATTACACCAACCTGATAAATGATGAGACTGACTATGAATTGATGGATTAACCTTTTGACCAAGGGGATCAATCTTCCCCAATTTCTCCTCAAATAGAAACCACCAAGAAATCACAATGAGGTGGCAACTTCACTGCAGAAGAAGACAGTATGCTCATATCGGCATGGTTTAATTAGGTTAGATCCAGTGCAAGGGAATGAACAAAATCAAAGGCATATTGGCTAAGAGTGTGAGAGTATTTCCACCAGTTCAAAACCCTTTCATCTAATCGTAGTCAAACTTCTTTAATGAATCGTTGGTCAGCAATTCAACTTGCCACGAATAAGTTCAGTGGGTGCTTCGCCCAAATCCAAAGGTTGAATCAAAGTGGAAAGACTGAAAAAGACAAGGTATTAATGCCATTGAGAATTTTACACTTACTTTCGTTGGAATTGTCTGATCTCATGATAATTAATGTTCTTTTATCTATTATTTAGATTCATGATTCAAATAAATTATACAATGAGTTGTACAAATTGTCATTTCCATTTGAACATTATTGGCATGAGTTAAGAGATCAACCAAAATGGCGAGAGGAATATCGCATGAAGAAATAAAAACCAAAAAAAGTGGCAACTCCCGGCGTTTTTTCTCCTTGAACACCGGATTCAACCAATTTAGAGGACAATGCTCACATAATGACAATGTAGACTTGGAAAGACCATAGGGTAGAAAGACTGAAAATGAACGTTTGAATAAAAGAAAGAATAAAGATCGTGGAAATGAAGGAGAGTCGCATATTTTAATATTATTAGAGGATTTAAAGGAAGATAGAAAGAAAATGAATGACAAGAAACTAGAGATGTATGAAAGGTCGTATCTTCAAGAGCAAGAAAGGATTGATAATGAGAAAAAGAGGACACAAATGGAGCAAGAAAAGGTTGATAATGAGAAAGAGAATGCGAATGGAACAATTGAAGGAGGAAGAACGAATAATGTCAATAGATACGAGTGGTCTGCCTTCATTACAAGCAGAATACGTTCATCGCCGCCAAATGGAAATTCTCCAAAAAAAGATTTAGTTGTTGGAACTACCCAAAAAAGATTTAGTTATTGGAACTATGTTTTTAACTTTATTTATTGTTGGATTTGATTCTCCATTGTAGGCAGAATTATGTTTTTTATGTAGTTTGTGTTGGAACTAGTTATTATATGTTAAAACTATTTTGGAACTATCTATTGTTGAATGGTTGAACTAGTAGTAATTTAATTACTGAGTGGAATTCTTGTTGAATGCTTGCTAAAGTACTCCATGGCTAAATATAATTGCTTGTTGTATGTTGGATTGAAGTGCTACTTATTTACAGGACATTTCTATTAGTTGATGAATTAAATACTGATTGTGTAAGTTGCTGGTGTTTTGATTTTGGAAGTTGTCTGATATGTTTTATAAATTTTATTTTGCAAAAAATTAAAGTTGTTAGGCAGGAACTTGCAAAGCTTAAGAAGCATAACACAACCTCATAGTTATTTTTAGTGTTGCAAATATCTCCGATTCATTATCAGAATCAGAGTCATCAATAATCATATTCATTACACTATTGCGAGCCATGGAAATTAAAAGAGGAATGAAGGTGAGGGATAAACTACTAAAAATAACTATGAGGTTGTGTTATGCTTCTTAAGCTTTGCAAGGTCCTACCTAACAACTTCAATTTTCTGCAAAATAAAATTTATAAAACATATCAGACAACTTCCAAAATCAAAACACCAGCAACTTACGCAATCTGTATTTAATTCATCAACTAATAGAAATGTCCTGTAAATAAGTAGCACTTCAATCCAACATACAACAAGCAATTATATTTAGCCATGGAGTGCTTTAGCAAGCATTCAACAAGAATTCCACTCAGTAATTAAATTACTACTAGTTCAATCATTCAACAATAGATAGTTCCAAAATAGTTTTAACATATAATAACTAGTTCCAACACAAACCACATAAAAAACATAGTTCTGCCTACAATGGAGAATCAAATCCAACAATAAACGAAGTCAAAAACATAGTTCCAATAACTAAATCTTTTTTGGGTAGTTCCAACAACTAAATCTTTTTTTGGAGAATTTCCATTTGGCGGCGATGAACGTATTCTGCTTGCAATGAAGGCAGACCACTCGTATCTATTGACATTATTCGTTCTTCCTCCTTCAATTGTTCCATTCACATTCTCTTTCTCATTATCAACCTTTTCTTGTTCTGTTTTCGTCCTTTTTTTTCTCATTATCAATCTTTTCTTGCTCTTGAAGATAAGACTTTTCATACATCTCTATTTTCTTGTCATTCATTTTCTTTCTATCTTCCGTTAAATCCTCTAATAATATTAAAATAGGCGACCCTCCTTCATTTCCACAGTCTTTATTCTTTCTTTTATTCAAACGTTCCTTTTCAGCCTTCCTACCCGGTGGTCTTTCCAAGTCTACATTGTCATTATGTGAAACATCATTGTCCTCTAAATTGATTGAATCCGGTGTACTAGGAGAACAAATGCCTGGAGTAGCCACTTTTTTTGGTTTTTGTTTCTTCACGCTATATTCCTCTCGCCATTTTGGTTGATCTCTTAACTTATGCCAACAATGTTCAAATGGAAGTGACGATTTGTACAACTCTTTGTATAATTTCTTCGCATCATGAATTTGAATAATAGATAAAAGAACACTAATTATCATGAGATCAAACAATTCCAACGATAATAAGTATAAAAATCTCAATGGCATTAATACCTTGTCTTTTTCAATCTTTCCACTTTGATTCAACCTTCTAGATTTGGGCAAAGCACCCACTGAACTTATTCGTGGCAAGTTGAATCACTGACCAATGATTCATTAAAGAAGTTTGCCTACGATTAGATGAAAACGTTTTGCATTGGTGTAAATACTCCCACACTCTTAGCCAATATGCCTTTGATTTTTGTTCATTCCCTTGCACTGGATCTAAGCTAATGTTAAGCCATGCCGATATGAGTCAACTGTATTCTTCTGTAGTGAAGTTGCCACCTCGTTGTGATTTTTTGGTGGTTTCTATTTGAGGAGAAATTGGGGAAGACTGATCCCCTTGGTCAAGAGGTTCATCCATAAATTCATAGTCAGTCCCATCATTTATCAAGTTGGTGAAATATTCACCATTTTGTTGCTGATTCATCTATAGACAAGGTAAAGAAAATTATGGCAACATATATTGGGTTGGAGAAATGACTAAGATTTCCAGTTGGAAGCAAATTAATCAATAAATAGAGATCATGTAAATTAAAATACAAGTTGTTTTGTTAAAAATGATTCAATGATAATTTTAGATAAACAAATGGAGATCATGTCAAAACTGAGTAAAAGGATTCAATGATAGTTGCACCAACGCTCTAATGATATATAACAAGAGCTAACATTTTGCTTCCAATGAAGAATTTTGCTACAATTAAAGCTATAATCCCAAGTCTGCAACCAACTCTCTAATGATATATAACAAGAGCTCTAATTCTGCTAACATTCTATCAAGCCATATATTATAAAACTAATATACACTCCATGCTTATTCCCACATTGTTTGGGATCTTCAATGTAGATCAGTTGAATGTTATCATCACTAGAAAACTAAACCTTAGCCTAATTTTTGATTGATGAAATTCCAAAGGCTAATGTATTTGATCAGTATTTTCTTGAGGACACCTTACAATGACTGTTCTTCTCATACTTGATTTTGTGAATGTGTTTTGTTTTTAATCGACCATGCAATGAATTTGTCAAACTCTATTTGATTTTTGGGTTTTTTTTCAGCGTATATTAGCAAAGCTAAGAGGTTTTGCTAAAGAGAGAAAACACTTTAGAAAACAGTTTTATGTTTCTCTACACACAGAAATATTAATTTATTAGCAAAGCCTGCAACAACAAATGCAAACTTCCAAAGAGAACCAAATCTAATCTTGGTAATGACAAAAATTGGTTCAACAGAATTTGGCATGGGGGGACCTTAGGCCTATCACAAACAAAATTCACTTGGCTGACAGCCTCATCATCATCACCATTCACCCCATTTCAACTTTGTTCACAGAGACATGATTTGTGGTATTCCTGAAGGGAGTATCTTCTCCATCCATATTCAATATAACCTTTTGTCAGGTTGAACCTCCCATTACAGTTCCCAGCATGGGTCATATATATTATTCAAGGTGGATCCATGAGAACATGTGGAGTTTTTAAAGAACTATCCATGTTTCTCCCCCACTTTCATTCCCATTCCCAAACTCTTTTTTCACTTTATATTTATAATTTGTATGAATGCCAACAAAAACACGTCCTTCCATCTTTCTCCCCTGTTCATTTCATTCCCAAACTATTTCACTTTATATTAATAATTTGTATGAATGGCAACCAAAAAAACAGTATGTCCTTTTGCTTCTTATAGAAAGAAAAATAAAAATGATGCACAAATATAATTGTTAGTGCATTTTAATGTTTGACGATCTATAAGGTGTATAATTGTTAATACCACATGAGTGCTATGAGAGCTATGAGAGTATTCTATAACTACCTCCAAAAGTGGAAAAAAAAAGAAAAAGAAAAACAGTCTCTGAATCTTTCTTAATTTATATAATAATAAATTGTGTAGGAGAACCCAACATTACATGGGAAAGGATAACAACATGGTATATGCATAGAAATAATAATAAATTGTGCTTGAGACAGCTTTAGAGTCACATTGCCATTAAAGGAACTAAGAAGTTCACCAATGGATAAATTATTAAAGAAAAGAAAAGAAAAAAAGAGAGGATAAATCAGTTTAGAGATAGTGCTTCTGTGTCTCATTTACAGATTGCATTTGATACATTACTTTTCTTGTCTGACGATGAGGATAAAATTCATTATGTGCTTTCAATTCATAGAGTATTTGAGTTAGTTTTGGAGTTTCAAGTGAACATGAATAAAAGTAATTTGGTGGGAATAAAAGTAATTTGGTATGAATAATGAGCATCTGTGTTTCTGCTGCTGCTGATAATGATATTGTTATCTGGGCACAGGATCTAGATCTGCAGCAAACATAAGATGAACATACATGTGGCGTTCATGAAGCTGTTTGCTATTTTGATGTTAATAACCTTTTCTCCTCAGTGACACTCCAGTTTGGCTCACTGATTTTCTCAGTTTTGGGGTTAGGGGGTACTTCTGTAGTGTTATGCGGGATGCATGAGCCATGAATGTAATCTCTTGGGACAAACTAAGATGGGTGTGGGAATGTATGTATAAGCACCCTCTTTATTTTTATTTTTTTCCTTTTGCAGGTATTATTGTGTTTTGAGGAGGGTGTCCCTCTTGAAACCTATATTATTAAAAATGTTCCTAGTAGGCCTTTGGAGTTGAAAGCTTCAATCCGTTTCTCTTAGATATTTTTATTTTGTTCCAGATTTTTTGAATTTATTTCCCTTGATTGGAACACAGGCTTGATTTGTCATAAGAATACACGTGTACGAGTCTGATTGTTTCTACCTTGCACACCTGAAAATTATTTACGTTCTTTTTTTTTTTTTTGGTTTGTTTGAACTGGCGTTTTAACATGATCCGAAATGTTCTATCTAAAAAAAATCAAAAAACATGATTTGAAATGTTTAAAAAAAGGAAAGAGGGAAGAGTATTGTATCTATTTTGTCTATGTTAGTGTGGTACCAACAAATACACAAAAAACACACAAACACCAAAGCTGACAAAACCAGCAGCAAAGGAACAGCAGCAGCAGTTCTTGCAACAACAGATACAAAGACAGCAGGGGAACCTTATGCTAATAAGACCCATTCACCAGTGTAACCCATTCACCACCAATGTACCAGATCATCCCAGGTCACCCAAAATTCACCCAAAACACCAAAACAGCAGCCACTACAAACCAGAACACATCAGATACAGACCAAAAATAGCCCTCAGATTATAGCAGACCCAAAAACAGCCCTCAGATTAAAGCAGACCATACACACCAGATGAAACAGTCCAGGAACCACACCAACAGGCAGCCCTCAACTACATGGAACAAGACTTTGCCCAAAGAGAGAAAAATATTATTTTTGGCCAACTTTCAGAGCTCCAACAGCAAGTAAAAAGATGTGGAACAAGGCATATGAAGATTGGAATGAAAACTAGGCTATAAGGTGAATCTAACTACACAAAAATGAGGCAAAACAGAGTTACGACGAGGGAGATATAAGTGTTTAAACATGCGGGTTTGAATTTGAAAATTTTGTCCAAATAGAGAAAAATCTTATTTTTGGCCAATTTTCAAAGCTTCGATGGCAAGTAAAAAGATGTGGAATAAGGTTTATGAAGAGTGGAATGAAAATTAGGTCATGAGGTGAATCCAACGACTCAAAAATTATGCGAAATGGAGTTACGACGAGGGAGATACAAGTGCTTGAACATGTGAGTTTGAATCTGAAATTCTACCTAGATTTTCGTTAGTTTAATATGACGGAGATAGATAGAGGGGTCAGATTGAAACACGGATGAAACTCTAGGGTTTAATTTATTGAAATTAAAATTCTAGGGTTTAAATTGAAAAATACACAAAACCTTTAGGTTTTTTTTTTTTTTTTTTTTTTTTTGTAATTAACCCAAAAATTAAATATAAATTAATATTAAGGCTTCAATAAAATAGAAAAAAAAAATATAAAACATAAAAGAAAATTAAATTGATCTGTGCGATACACATAATTAAGTAAATTCTGTCATATTTATTTATTTAGTTATTTGTATATTGAGATTATTATTTTTTCAAATATTATAATAATTAAATTAAAATATCAACCATACAAAAGAATCTTAGAGACAAAAATAAATACAAGATGAAAAATATATGAAAAATAACTATTTATACATATAAAATTAATTATTATAATTAAAATTGAGTATGCCTATAACACTTATATAATGGAAAAAGTATATTGATGTGGCTTTAATATGCCACATAAAAATAAATAAATAAATAAATAAATAAATAACTACTTTTATATATATATATATATGATAATGTAAGCCTGCACTATATGCTTGCACCTGATGGTTTAAACAATGGTTACTCGTTTTTTTTCTATTTTTTTTTTCTTTTGGGTAAATTACAATTACCTCCCTTGAGGTTCCTAACAATTACACTAGATTCCCCTCATTTTTCTAAAATTACACTGATTTCCCTTGTGATTAACTATGTTAATGGGAGGGTTAGTTTCATAATTTTAACATTAGAGATATTTTTGTTGATAACCATTAAATGTGCATTTATTATTTTGATTATAACTCATTTTTTTTTTAGTTATGGCTGAAAAAAATTAGTTATGATATTTGTGGTAATCAACACCACAATTGTTATAACTTGTATATGGTACACATAAAACGGTGTGTATTCTAGAATAACTTGTTATGACAAAAGTGATGATGAAACAAATTAAAAAATTAATTACATAAATATAAGAGAAGTTATTTAGTGGTTTTTAATTAATACTTGACATCATACAGTTCTATTGTCTAAAACAAAAAGATGATAAAATTGATGAGTCTCACTGTCTAAATTAATAAAAATCAAATTGAGACACTGCATGTATTTATTTGAATAGTATCAAACAATATTTCTAAATACTCACATGGTTTGACTATATATACATGTATATATAAAATTTATTGCATTACATATATACAAGTTCTTGTATTGCTCATTTAGCTTCAATAATTGATACTAATTTGTTTACCTAAAAAATGATTAATTGTTTTTATTTTTAATTTTCAGATAATAACTTCAAATTTTATACAAATCAAACTAAAATTCCCTCATGTGCTAAAACTAATCACTGATTTTCGCAGGAAAAAAAAAAAGCCTAAATACTTCGAAATTTCAATACTTCGCAAAAAAGCCTAATTTTAGAAAAAGGAGGGAAGGCCAGTGTAATTGTTAGAAATTTCAAGAGGCGTGAGTGTAATTTATCCCTTTTTTAAATTATATAAATGGATTATTTATTCATTTTTTAAATCACAAAATATAAGATAACAAGTCTAAATACTTCGAAAAAGTGTCAAATTTTGCCAAAGCTTTCGTTTGGGATGTGGGTTAGTTTTTTGGCTATTTTAACCTGGAGCTAAAAAGCCTCGTTTTCGTTTGAGATAAGTTTTTTGATTTTTTTGACTTTTATGAGATAAAAAAAGAAATAATTAGGGTTTAAATGTGACATTTTATCTTATTGACTTTTTTACCTATTTTATCTTTTTGTGACTATTTTAACCCAAAACCAACATGCCAAACATAGCCTTAAAAATGCATAAAATAAATTTTGACCATTGATTGATAATTCTGAATAAAAAATATGAGTTTGTAATCTTACTAAATACAAATACAAGAGACCAACGTGTATTTATTAATAAAGGGAAAAATCTGTAATGTGCAATACATATCGAATTTAATTTAATTATAAAATTATACAAGTCTTTATAAATTTATATAAGTGATTTTATAAAAGGGATTTTTATTGATAAGTCCAATTTAGAAGTGTTTTAACCCAAGAAGTTTATGAAGGAATTTTTTAACCCATCTAGTCCCATGTATGTATAGTTTTATTCCATAAAGTCCATTTTCTTGATTTACACTATTTTCTTGGACACTTATGCCCTTATATTTAATTTTGATACCCTTATAAATATTTTTTCAACAATTAGCAATTTAATGATGTGAACATTCATATTTTAAAATTCACATTTGTAGGAATGTAAATTGGCCCGTGGGCGGCCCGAAACCCGCCCGCGAGCCAGCGCGGGCTCGGTCCGTTGACAATGTGAATATTCACATTAACATGTTAAAATTCACATTAATAGGAGTGTAAAATTGGCCCCTGTCCCGTGGCGGCGCGAAACCCGCCCGAGGCCCATGGGCGGCTCGGGGCGGGCCCGGCCCGTTAACAATGTGAATATTCACATTGACATGTTAACATTCACATTAATAGGAGTGTCAATACCTCCATAATTACCCCAAGATTCAATAATTTAATATTTTAAAGGGATTTTTATTGATAAGTCCAATTTAGAAGTGTTTTAACCCAAGAAGTCCATGAAGGAATTTTTTAACCCATTTAGTCCCATGTATGCATAGTTTTATTCCATAAAGTCCATTTTCTTGATTTACACTATTTTCTTGGACACTTATGCCCTTATATTTAATTTTGATACCCTTATAAATATTTTTTGAACGATTAGCAATTTAATGATGTGAACATTCATATTTTAAAATTCACATTTGTAGGAATGTAAATTGGCCCGTGGGCGGCCCGAAAGGTAGTGTTGCGCATTTTTTCTAAATTTGTTATGCAATTTTGTAGTTCTATTATGCCATAACTAGTGGTTTTTTGATATAAAATGCGTAAGTTATGCCCAAGTATAACTCATTATTTATGATTAAGTTCGCTATGTACTTTAATGTTTTTTTTCTTCCTAATTTTCTTAATTTTTACACATTAATGGTAGCATTACACACATCAATGTTTTTTTTTTTTTTTTGTTGATATTAATGCACAAGTTATTTCAAAGTATTGTTTTTGTTTTTTGGTTATGATGAGTTACGGCACTTACGGATTAGCTACATATTTTAATGATTTTTTTCAATTTTTTAAATTATTATGCAAATTAATGGTATCATTACGTATTTTTGTGGATTCATTATGCAAATTTATAGTTCTATTGTGCCATACCTAGTGGTGTTTTAACACACAAGTTATGCTACCATATCGTTCATTACGACACTTAATGATCCGTTACATAATTTAATGGGTTGTTTTAGGGGGGGCAAATTACATAGATAGTCTCTACATTTTGTCTCTTATTTTAATCCCTGCACTTTCAATTAGCTCAATTTTGACCTTAATTTTAGATTTTGTGTTAATTTGGGCCCATTGATAACGTTATTAGTGTTTTTTATGAAAAATTATCACTAAATTGGTTGAAGTTAACTCACTGAGTTGAACAAGTTTAAAAATTTTCCTTGAAAAACATAAGTCACTTGTGTGCATATTTTTCATTAAAAAACACTAACAATTGTAAGCATTTGGATTAAATTGAGAAAAAATAAAAAATTCAGTGTCAAAATTGAGCAAACTATAGAGACCAAAATCACACAAGACCAAAATACAAGGATTAACGTAATTTGTCCTTTTTTTATTTTTACTTTTATGCATATTTATGGTAGTATTACTTTTTAGATTAGTTATGAAATTTTGTAGTTCTATTATGCCATAACTAGTGGTTTTTTGATATAAAATGCGTAAGTTATGCCCAAGTATAACTCATTATTTATGATTAAGTTCGCTATGTACTTTAATGTTTTTTTTCTTCCTAATTTTCTTAATTTTTACACATTAATGGTAGCATTACACACATCAATGTTTTTTTTTTTTTTTTTGTTGATATTAATGCACAAGTTATTTCAAAGTATTGTTT